GCCTCGTTTCTGGATTTCGGTAACGCTGGTAGCAGTTGGGTACGAGGACGGGCTTGTCGTGCCTTGCCAGGTCCTGGATGAGGGTTGGGGGGGTCTCGACGATGTCTCCATCAAGCCAGAGGACCCATGATGTCGACGGTCCCAATGTCGTGAAAAGCAGGCTATTCCGTGCCCGACTCATAGCCTCGCGGCGTATTCTTTGGTTTTGCATTTTGTGTCGTTCCTTTTCGTCTTGGGACGAGATCGGGGGGTCGAAGTCTTGTCGGAGAATTGTAATGCTCGCAAATCGATCGTCCACTGGTCCTGATTGCGTAGCGGCAATGGCTGATTGCAGAGCTGATGCTGCCGCATTGCCTTCCCGAGTCTTGGGGATGATGAACCCAAGAGAGATGTATTGATGTGGGTATGAGAGTTTGACCAGGTTTTCCCAATATCCGACGTAGAATCGAGCAAGAGGAGTGAGAATTAGGATACGCTCCTGGTTTTCGATCGGGTTGGCCGTAGCGGTATTATTGTTCATAGCATATCGGACAACGGGGGGCGGCGCGCGGTGGCCGTTTGCCTTGACAGGGGGCTCTTTTAGGAAGGGTTTGGTCGGGGGGGAGAGAGCATTCTCGGCGGCGTAGTTTTTTCGTTCGTTGGAGGTGACGGCAGGCGACGCAGCGGAGGAAGGCGAGAAGATGAAGAAGAGGAACCCGATCGTGAGTAGACCAGCTAGGATGAGGGTGATCGGGTTCGTGCGTCGTAGGGAGCGTGCGACGGCCATGGTAGCCTTTGAAGGGGGAGGGCCGCGGTCCTAACAGCAAGCAAAGGGGCGGCTGTATGGCAATAGGAGGGCGGAAAGGAGATATCCTATTACTTCCGGCGGTGTTCGATCGTTACGTGGTCACTGGCGGACGTACGGACATATTTCGTGGCGTGCGCAGGAGTTCAATGGCAAAGGGCTGGCAGAGAGCGGACCAGACACCACACGGCGGCCGAAGCGAAGTCTAAAGAGAATAAAACTAGCAAGGCGTATTAGGGAATATAATAGCAGCAGCGGAGAAGCGAAGAAGGGCGGCACAGGGCTGGCGGACGGGTGCGGTGGAAAATGCCAAGTGGTTGAAGTCGAGGTTGAGGTTGGATTTCTTTTTTCGAGATGCGAGAAGTTGCGGTTGCGGCCCGATTTGGTTGGCAGAGCCGCACACGGCAAAAGGAGTCTCAACGTCGCAGAAACACAACCATGTCGCAGCCAGAGAAAATCCCCGGCGCCGTAAATAATCCACAGCAGCAGGGTTGCGGGCTGGTTGCGGGCTCTCTGGACCCTGCTGTTGACGCTGTCTGGCCAGGGTGGCGTCTTCAGCTCGACAGACCCGGATAGAGGCTGGACTTGGGATATGATATCCAATATCCCTGGTTTTAAGGTGGATGGATCTACAATATCTAGCAATCAGAGTTATCATCCTTGCTTCACACTATCCTATCAATATGAGCCCATCATTTGTTATACATGTCCGTCTATATGGTATCAATCCATCGTCACGAAAGGTCTATCTCGACGCAAAATGAACACCACCAATCAAGTACCCCACCAGAATGCAACATCATGCCATATATCTCATCACCCCTTCAAAAGCCACCAGCGCCATCGCATTCGCCGGAAACGCTCGTAGGAAACACGGTAGGAAACCCCGCCAGTATCCCCTCCATCCATTCTCCCTGCCCACCGCAACAGCCGCGTCTCTCCATCGTGGGAACTTCCTTTCCCCGTCGCCCAGTCCTCCACCCAACGGATCCGTCATGATCCGCTGCTTGACCACGTCGGACGGGTATGACGTGAGCCAAAACACCTGTGCGGACAGTCCGCCGGCCCAGAAGTTAATCGCCGGCGTTGAGAGTTGGGTGTGTTGTTTCATTAATCGGGAGAAGATGTCGTAGGTCCCCCACCAGAAGAAGAAGAATGAGCGGAAGAGCAAGGTGGCGCAGAGCCCGTGGTAGAGGCCGGATATTCCATGCACCCGGAACTGTAGTGTATTAGTTGGAGTCGATGGGAAAGGGATAAACGCCACTCACGATCTTCCTGGTGCAGTCAATAGGTCCCTTGTATAGACGTTTCTTCTTGTCTGCTGCATATTGGATCTGCAATCGCGCCTTGACATGCTCAACCGGCGCCGCTACAAAGCTCACTGTTGAGCCGGCCATGATACCCGCCATTCCATGGCCGAACCAGGGTAGCCGATCAGGAACTTCCTTTGATGCAAAGGGTACTATCCGTCGTAATTGTTGGTTAGAGAAGACATTTTCAAAAAGCAGTCGTCGGTAAAGTGTCAATGAACCCAGCATCCTATCCAAACGTTAGAATATATGCAAGCAAACGTACGTCAGGATATAAGAGGCTTACACCGAGTCCATAACCATCCACCCCACCAAGGGAGGAGTAGCCCCCTTATACAGGGCCGTGACGCCCTCTTTTCGTACAGTTTGAAGCAGGCAATCCAGCGGGCCTTTGAAATGCGTGGCTTTCGTCGTTTGGAGACGAACCTTTATAGTATCGAATCTAGCAGATCCCAAGTTAGTGATAATGGGTCCGGAGAAAAAGAGCGGGTATGTGAGCGAGCCCCTGAACGGTCGACGGGGGTAGAACGTAGAATAAGAAAGACGGAATAACATACGGATGTCCCACTGTAGAATACCGAATTAAAAAAATAATAACATCGTCAGCAAACCATACATATCCTCAATCATACAATTCATCATGCCAACCCAAACGTCATCAAGCACATCCCTCCCATCCGATGCACGGTTTCGCAGGCTCAACAGTCAACCCCACCCCATCGTGGCATGCAAGACATAACTTTCTTCAAACGCAGCCTCCAAGAGAATACCCCCCGCATGAGCAGAGACATGCAGAGTAAAGACGACAAAAGCCCTGATACCAAAATCATCCAAACACCAAAAAAAGCAAAAAACTTACCGCTCAACTTCGCAATCCCAGAAAAGACACCCGCGACAAACCCCTTATAATCCTTCCCCTTGGCCGCAGCTACCTCGGGTTTCTGGATACTAGCTCCTCCCCCCTGGCCGCTCACATCCGTCGCGCTCATTTTTCCAATTGGCAATGAGAGGTAGTAGTACTACTTGCAGCCGTTCTCTCCCACGCTTGGGCGGAGAGCCCAAGTATTGCAAAGGAGACGTGGAAGTCCCTCCAAGCTTCAGGCTCTTTCCAACAATCCCAGCCGCGAAAAGAAGAAGAAGTAGTAGACCTTCCAATCCGTCAACTGCCCGTATCTCGATTCCCAACCCCCTAACTCAGCAGCTCCAACGCCTCGCCTCGCGGACGGGATCAAACTTCGGCAAGCGGTCGAGATTTTTTGCAGGCAGTTTTCCCTCCTATTTAGTTAATCCGATAATAAAACCCGCACAAACACAACGAAGAAGCAAAAAATGATTTTCATATATCATGAAGACCCGTCCCGTTGACTCGATTATTTAACCAACTCCGTTTCGCCATTAGCATGCTTTCTGATATTGGCGTCGATGTTGGTCCGAAAATCGGCCTGCTTCCCGGATGCCGAACATGCCACGTGATTCGGCTATTGAATCCAAACTTTCTCATCGGGTATCTATTAAGCTAACATTGAAGTTTCCAGGGCTTTGGCAAGAATTCATCAACGCGATCGACTAGGGTTGAAAGCATCAGAGGAGCGGGAGAAACGGAGGTTATCTACGGCACGCCCGGTGTCGTGGAGGCTAGGACATTAAGAGTTCCCCTCCACTGCCATCCATCCATCTATATCCGCGCCAAATCCTGCAATTGCCGCGCCCCTGAATGCCTGGTGACCAATTAACGACATAACGCCGCGCACAGGCTTATCCTCGGGGTCCAAGCAGCTATCTGATGCCAATGTGACAGCAAAAGATGAAAGAATATGGTAGCTACCAAATGTGGAAGGTAATTATTATTTTCAGGCTGAAATGTGCCATGAAACAGGAGGACATTGCTTGGATTCAATCATTCTGTCGAAGTATTCTATCTGATATGAATGACTGACCCCTTTTCTTTTAAACCCGCAGGGCCAAATTAATTTAACAAGGTCACCAAGTCCATCATTATTTTACATATGTGCACGACCTTGGAAACTATCAAGTCAAAGGAAGGCCTCTCAAATCCCTAGCAGTAGATGGGATGGGTATGTGAACGACTTATCTGACAAATGACCAGTGGCATCCGAAGCGGAGCGTAATAATAGTAACCTTCCCGCCAGCCACAAGTACATACATACAAGCATAAGATGCGTATCTCAAGATAACTACCCAAAGCGAAATCCAGACCATGGGTATCACATCATACGTACAAGGGCTATCTTCCTATTTCCCGATATCAAGGCACGCAACCCCCAATAAATAAAGCAATAAACAACCCACGCGTCCGTTCCGTTCCCTTTCGCAAGACAAGACCCTGGTCGAGATCTAGTCAGCCACTGAATAATGATGACGATGACGTCCAATTTTACACAAAACGGCGGGATAAGCGGCATGCTCCCGTCGCTGTGTAATGTGTGTAATCATCAATCCTGTTTTCCTTCCTTTTAGCTTTATATGTTAAGGGGCAAGATCTATGAATTAACTTACATATATATGTACGTCCATGGCAAGGCGATGTGAAACTGTGCTATGAGGACGGTGATGTAATTGATTGATATGGATATTAATAGAAGCGGTGAGACAAGGAGGTCGGGAGATATGCAGTCTGGAGACGGTTGGACTCGGCTTATCATTCATTTCATTTCATTTCATTTCATTTCTTTTTTATTTTTAACCTTTTTAATCAAAGCATTGTTAACCAAATTCCAACAACCCAAATAAGTTAGAAACTGCGCAGTTAACTCCCCCCCCCTTTCCCCCCTCCTCCCTCCTCCCCCCTCCCCCTCCCCCTTTCCTCTCACCCCTTATCTAATTCCTCCATAACCCCCCCCCCCGAACCAAAATCCCCCCACCCCCTCCTCGCCCTCATCCCTCCAGCCTCCGTGGTGTAGTTGGTTATCACGTGAGTCTCATATTTACGTCCTTTCAACAATATGATAGGTTAGCATCCTAAACTACCTAGCGATCTCAAGGTCGCCAGTTCGATCCTGGCCGGGGGCATTGGGTTTTTCTTTTTTTTTTAATTATTTTTTTTTGGCGGGAGGGGAGTTTTTGTGTTTTTGCCATTTGGGTGGTGGTGGTTTGGTGGGGTGGGGAGGGGTGGGGCGGGCCGCTGGGTTTGAACTTTGCTGGTTGGGTTGGGGGACTTGGCGCGGGAATAATTTGTAGAAAACTCTGGGTTGAGGCGGGTTGAGGCGGGTTTCAAGATTTTGTGGGGGAGATTGGTGGTGGGTTCATTCAACGATTTTATGGGTAGGGGCCGACTCCTCGGGGGAATGGTTATTGTTGAGGTGTGAGGTGGGGATGAAATGGATGGAACGGAACAATTATAGTTGGATATATTTCCATTCTCTCTTGTTAATCGACAATAGGAAAAGAAAATAAAAATGGTGAAAACTAGATAAATCCAATGCCAAGGGTATATGCACGCAAATAAAGCAAGGTAAAAAAAAAGTACAATCGTAATGCAACCTCAATCTCATGTGGGATATTCCAATTGCCGTTCAGCAGGGAGGATAGATGCCCCCAATGTTCAAGGGAACGGGGAATAGAATTATCAACAACATCCCCAACTATGATTTCCCCACAGAGAGCCACTTACAGTGGCAAGGGACTGTCAAATGCGCGATAGCGGCGACGAAGGCTCAAACTGTCATTCAGGGGGGAGATTTGTTCGAGGCTAGCCAACTGTTTTCTGGGTATCATGGGAAGCAAGCAAGGAGCAGGAGCAAAAGTGAAAAGAAAGTTCCAAATCCAATAAAAAACAAACACGCTGTATGCTGTAACGAACGCTTTGCTCCTGTTTTATCCCAGCCTTTTTCTTTTCCGTTGGTTCTATTCGTGGCAATTCCGGTGTATAGGTGTGGTGCGATTTATGATGGAGTGGTGAGCTTTATAAAAAAAAAAGGCAAGCAGGGTATAACTGCAGAGCGCAGAGGCAGTTTCTGCTGCGGGATGTGTTTCGCGATGTTCCGGTCTGTTTCGTTTCAGATGACGGATTTGGAGTCGCAACATAGGAAGGCAGATACAGGATAAGGGAATTCGTTAAAAGGTTTTCTGGAGGGCGTGTCGTTACCGGCCCTTGTTGTCTTTCCTCGATGAGCCCTGCGACGACAGTCTCTCGGCTTCTCGTTGCATGAGCTTCTCGACCAGCTCTCGAGGTGAAAGAGAACCCTCATTCCCCGTGCTTGAGCCAGGTGAATGCGTGGCGCCAGCCAAGAAATAACCTTCTTCTTTTTCTTCCAGCGCCAGGGGAGTAACAGGACCAGGACTGCCCAGGGGGTCAAGACGAGGCTTCGATGGTTTAGTAGAGGAATTGGACGAGGAGCCGCGGGGTGTGAGCGTCACGCCAGCAACTAGGTCGCGGTATTGTCGCAGGGCATCCCTGGAGCCCGAGGGCATTCTGTAGGGCTGCGCAGGCCGTTGCTGGAGGGGAGAAGGGGGCTGACGGTGGTCTCTCGAGGCGTTGGAGGAGGATTGGTAGACGGCGGGGTGGAAGCGCGGGAGGGTTCCCAGATGGATGGGCTGCTTTGGCTTTGGAGAGATGCGGGTTCGAGGGCGCGAGGGAGGGGGAGAATGGGGGCGGAGAGAGGGAGACATGGTGGGAACGGTGGTTGCTGAGTACATGTAAGAGGCAGAGCGGTCACTCAACATGATTATGATGATGATGACGATGATGATGATGGCTCTGGGTGAGGCAGTGGGAGGTAGATGTATGAGCAGTGGCAAGGCTGGAGAGTGAGGTAAGCGGCTGGGCGGGTTGGTAATTGGAGATAAGGCTGAGAGAGAGTCGGTGAAGAGAGGATAGGCTGAGAATCCAAGAAACAAGAACTGGATATGGGACGGGAGGGAGGATCCTTAAGTCAAAGCAAGACTGGGCGGCTGTGGGGTAGCTTGGACCACAAATACAAATCCAAATACCACCTCGTGTATCCTTATCCTTATTTGACGAAGCGCCAGGAGTCGGTTCACTGGCTGGTTACTAGTATGAGTCCAGTGGCGCTCAACGCGGGCAGACTGTCTGGGATACGCTGGCCAGCACTCAATAGTCAAGGCCATCCCCGTCTGCTGCTGGCTCCCTGCATTCAATGCCACGTCTGGCGCGAGGGGCCCAAGCCCTTGTTTCGCCTGCAACGCCGCCCTGGAGCCAACCAGCGCCGGTCGACGCAAAAAAGGTACCATGGCGCCCCAACCCTGGAACCGGCAGCGAGGGGCAAGGGGGCTCATTTGTTCATTTGGCGAAAGCGGGGGAGCCATGACGCCAGAGATAGACAGAGACGGCCGGTCAATGCGATGGCCGAGCCGCCGATTGCGATTGCGGCGGTATCGCTGTTCCAAACTACTCCGTACACCCAGGTTTATGGTTGCCCCTATCCAGTTCACAGCAGCAGCTATGGCTACGACAATGGATACGAGCAGGCAGGCTCATCTTCTTCGTCGTGGCTGCTCTGGGTTGAGAAACTGCAACTAAAAAGCTCCAGCATCCATCGCTTCAAAACAACTTGAATCAACTAACCACGCTCAGTACTGTCCCCAATAGCTACCTCAACCGTGGATTCCGAAATGGATATCGACCCAAGACCATCCGAAACCCCCCCAGACCCAGGAGCGTCGGAAACCCCCCCTGACGAAATATACAACACCCCATCTGCCGAGAGAATCTCTCTTCTTATTGACCTGCAGGATGCCCTGGGGGTCTCCCGAGTACCCGCTCCCTTCTGGGCTTGTTTACACGTCTGTCACATTTCCCGCCTCCGGGCTCTGGTCAACACAGCCAGAGTGACTCCGATATGGATCTCCCTACTGAGCGACTGCTGCGCTTCTATTCCGCTCCGGTGGGTGAAGCGCAGAATCCCGAAAGAAGCCGCATCCCCCCCTACCCCTTCGCGCCATGGTTGCCCTTCCTCACCTGACAACCTGGCTAAAGAACGAGATAACAATTCCTGTGTCCTGACCAAGGCGGATCGGTTCGTCGTCACACGGGTCTATCCCGACCTGCCAATTTTGTCCTCACTGCCAGCCCCAGCTTTCGCGAAGCTACTTGTATTTTTTTGGGAGTCTCGGTTGAGTCGGTGGTCTACTAAATTGTTTAGGGGCCCTGCGGGCCTGACGACTGTGGCTCCTGATGGGTGCTCCAATTTCCTATGCATGCACGGTGACCTTGCCCGTTACTTCAATAGGGGTCAGCTTGCCCTCAGACCAGTTTCGCTGTCCGAGGATAAGAAGGAACTAGTCGTTGAGTTATACTGGCAGCCACGGGCTCCTCATACGTTCAGAGACGAGGTGGATATCCTCCAGGTCCCCTGTTCTTCGAGAGACCTTGACGGGTATCAAAACAATCGCTTCACTATCAATGTTGATGGACGCGAAGTGGGTATAAATTCCGGCGATTCGTTCACGCTTACAACCGCTGATCCTACAACGCACCCCCTCCCGAGTTTTCATCTTCTCGACATGCAGTGGCATCTCAATAGAGTCGTGGCGATGTCTGGTGCCACGGATGCCAATGATGATGTTAATCAAGACGACGATGATGATGGTGATGATGGTGAAGAAGATGATGAGGACGATGATTATGAAGATATCTCCGAGCATGCAGCAGTCGAAGAATGGCAAAAGTCAATAAACGGAATAGTTCAATGGGTGCAGTCTTTGATGGCCTCCTCCAACCAGGACAACGACGGTTCCCCTGACTCTGTCTCGGTCTCTCCAAATGCGCCGTCACTAAAGACGGACAACTCTCAACCGCAGGTGGATGAGGATGTGACATGAACCAGGCTTGTTCCAGTGGTTGCGCTCTTTCTCCCCTTAATGTATAATAATGACTTCATTTTTTCCCCTGCTCCTTTTTTTTTTGTTTCAAAAGGTGGCTTTTATGTGTAAGTTTAGAGTAATTATCTTACATTACCCCTCCCTATAAAACAGTACCAGAGGCACTGTATTGAAATGACGTTAAGCATATTTGTTCCCCATCCCATTCCCCAGCTGAACATGGAGTTAGAGCATGCAGTGTGAGAGAGACTAAAATTGCTACAAACTATTTTTACTGCACCATTACTAAATGAGTTATATCATCTATCCAATCAAAGTCTCTCAGACAAAGTCATGTGGACATGGCCATGCAGGAAATCCATGCTGATCCATGTGCTCATTTCACACCTTTTTTGCCTGTCAGCTGCATAATCAAGGAGTTCGCAAATGGGAGTGGCCCTGGTTGCCGAAATATGTCCGGACAGGGATATGGCCAAAAGCGCATCAGGGATTTGAGGGTTAGTTAGTTTGTCAGTTAAGGAGCTGGGAGCTGGGAAGTATGTCACTATCTTTATTATTTAGGGAGGAACATGCAGGAGGGAAGCTTGGGATTAATAGGTAGGGGTTACCAGGTAATATATGTAACTCTTTCAGTAGCTCTCATTTCCAATATAACTAGCTAGCTTGAGTGATGCAATGCCAGAATAATTAGTTTGTAACTACCCCTCTTTTCATTAAATCTCTGGGAGAGCTCCAATGATCAATTTCACGACCACACCATGCGGGCGCGGTAGCTAATCAGTTCAGTTAGTTAGTTACCACATGGCAATCCATCCCCAACTCAACCCAGCGATCCATCCCCGGATTAACAATCAGAACCAGTGATGGATGGGGGAACAGACAGATTGGATCACTGGCCCCGATGTAATTACTCGTATTGGTCCGATGTCGCTTGCAACCCAGTCCATGGATTAGTAGATAGACCCCTCTCTGCTCTTCCTCATTTGGCTGGTTTTAGTGGGCATAATGCCTGAGGAGCGACTAACTACAAACCCATCCCTGACACGACACCGCATCCTTTGCATATTTATTGCATTCCTTAGCTAGTTAGCTATCCGTTATTCCTTCTTCCATATTATTTTAGCTACATGGATGTGCCGTGTCTGGAGTTCGAAGCTGCTACCTACTGGGGGGTTTATAACAAACCAACCACCTAATTGACTATCTACTAGCCTTCAAGGGGGCTTCTT